TCCCTTTTGTAAGATTAGCACCTCTGCAGCCCTGGGGTGACCCGGATCTGAGCACAACCACCAGGATTGGGGTAAGGGGAGGTTCCTCACTATCCCCACACCAGGGCTCTTTGCCGGGATCCTGGGTCACACGCAGGAACCCAGCCCTGGAGCAGGGACCCGCTCGGCTCCCATCGCCTTGGACTGGTGGCCACGTCCCAGTTCTCATCTGGAAATGGGGCCCCAGGACATATTGCCCCCAAGGGCAGTGGGGAACAGAGGGGCTTATTCAACTCCTACCGGAGGCTGCTCCTGGTGTGCTCCCGACGCCACACGCACCCCCCGGCACCACGGGCCACTTGTACAGCCTGGGGAGCCGTGTCACCTTGAGCAGTGAGCAGCCCACACTGCACTCAGCATCATACCTTTGCTTTTGACCGTTTCAGATAATTTCATCACCACTAAAGCAGGGTCACCTTTCCAGGTAAGTTACAAACGTGCTGGGGTACACAATGGCTACGGTCTTGGACTGGTGGCCACGTCCCAGTTCTCATCTGGAAATGGGGCCCCAGGACATATTGCCCCCAAGGGCAGTGGGGAACAGAGGGGCTTATTCAACTCCTACCGGAGGCTGCTCCTGGTGTGCTCCCGACGCCACACGCACCCCCCGGCACCACGGGCCACTTGTACAGCCTGGGGAGCCGTGTCACCTTGAGCAGTGAGCAGCCCACACTGCACTCAGCATCATACCTTTGCTTTTGACCGTTTCAGATAATTTCATCACCACTAAAGCAGGGTCACCTTTCCAGGTAAGTTACAAACGTGCTGGGGTACACAATGGCTACGGTCAGGACAGAGGTGACCCTCAGCTACAAGAGGGATTAGTTGTTTGTGACATAATTAGTCATTAAACCTCAAGGAGATCTCCCATCTCACACTGCGAGGACTCAGGCTTTTCAAAAACTTCTGTGAAGGATCCTGACACAGGTGTTTGGCCATTGAAGTACTGGGCACTGGTGAGGCCCCTGCTCAAGGGCTGTCCCCAGTTTTGGGCCCCTCACCACAAAATAGACATTGAGGGGCTGGAGCGTGTCCAGAGAAGGGCAACGGAGCTGGTGAGGGGTCTGGAGAGCAAGGAGAGGCTGAGGGAGCTGGGGGTGTTCAGCCTGGAGAAAAGGAGGCTGAGGGGAGACCTTCTCCCTCTCTCCAACTCCCTGAAAGGAGGGTGTAACCAGGGGGGGTCGGTCTCTTCTCCCAAGGAACAGGTGATGGGACAAGAGGAAACGGCCTCAAATTGCACCAGGGGAGGTTCAGATTGGAGATTAGGAAAAATGTTTACCCTGAAAGGGTTATGAAGCCTTGGAATGGGCTGCCCAGGGAAGGGGTTCAGGCACCATCCCTGGAGGGATTTAAAAGCCGGGTTGACATAGTGCTTGGAGACATGGTTTAGTGATGGTTTCTATCAGAGTGAGGTTGATGGTTGGACTCAATGATCTGAAAGGTCCCTTCCCACCTGGACAATTCTATGATTCTAAAGCACACTCCGGCAGCCAAAGCCACACACCCTGCGACTCCTCACCAAGCTGTGACCTGCTCTTTCCTCCCCCAAAACCTCTGGACAACTCTCCATTCCCTCGCATCCTCCTGGGGCTTGATTCCCACCTTTCTCATGGTACCACACTGATTTGTCCAGTGAAGCTGGAATCAGCTGCAGCTCCTCAGCTCCTTCCTGCAGCCCTTCACAGCACATGCTGCCTCCCACTGCCCGAGAGCAAAGGCAGCCTGTAGCTGTGCTGTGTAACCCAGGCCTTTTGTCAGCAATTTTATTAGCAATTTGTTCAGCAATTTGATTTTTACGAATCTTGAGAACCTGCCGTCCGTAGCAACACCCAGCACTGGGGACACACGGATGGATTTTACTGACTATTCTTTAACACCTTCTTTTGGCCTCGCCCCTGGGAAGCGCAGCCTCTGAGGTAAAGTGCATTCAAAGGGTCTGTCAAACACTGAGCTTTGAGTGCGTGGAGCTGCAGAATCCCCTTGTCACTCTGCTGCTGGTGTCACCCTTCGCCTGAGCTGTCCCTTCTCCCTCTTTGGTTCTCACCATCCCATCCCCACGGCCCCACACCACGAGCTCAGGGCTTGGCAGGTTCTCCTGGGAAGGAATCACAGAATCTTCATGGTTGGAAAGGTCCTCTGAGATCACCAAATCCAACCAAACAACAGGCACCAGCAGGAGAATCTCACTCCTCCTCCCTGCTGCCTTCCTTTGGAGGTTTCAGTTTGCAGAAGAACCAAAATGTTAACGAACAACAAAGGAGATGAATATATATATATTCAAAATATATATTTGCAAAAAAGCTTGGCAACCACTGAGCAAGACTTGCATTTAATCTAAGATGCACCAGGGATTTACAGAAAATTATGCTTTCTTTGGGCTCTCTTTTCCTAACTCACTCCAAACGTTCCATTTAACTTTTTGACTTGGCACATGCCTTTGTTAAAATACCTGCCTTCAGGCTAAGAATCTGCTCTGGTGCTGCTCAGAGCTCATCGCTCCAGGTGTGAAATTTGGAATCTTCAGTTCATGTCCAGCTGCAGTGAATTTACCCTTCTATCAACCCACCCATTAGTCCTCGTCCCTACCAGAGTGCACCCGTGTGGGCACCCCCCCAGCACCACCCCCCAGCCTCTCCTGAGCAGGGGACACTAACGCTGAATGTGGGGCTCCCAGAGGAGCCTGTGAAATGCCTGGAAAATCTAACCTTTTACTCTGACTTTTTTCCCCTCCCCAAGCATGTAAAAGGGCTTCCCCCCTCATCCCGTGGGATCTCTCACCCAGGGTCCTTAAAAGCCTTTGGCACAAAAGCCTGCCAAACGCCCTTCAGAAATACAAATAATGTCACCAGACCTTACCCCTATCCCTGGGGACTCCTTTAAAGAACTCACAGGTCTTGGAAGACATGACTTGCCATTAAAACACCAAGTTTATGCTCTCTCATGGATCCATATTTCTACTAATTCTGTTTTTTATTACAGTTTGTTTTCCTTGTACACAGGCCCATCTCACTAGTTCAGAATTGCCAGGAACCCTTGTTTAGAACAGGTATCGTGGTTGTCACCTTCCAGTTTCCATGCTTCAGCACAACTTCTGCAAGAGATCCCACACCACTGTTAGCAACACCCCACTCTCTAATATTCTGTCTCTGATCCTCTTTGTTTTATCACAACCCCCAGCACGGAACTGGTATCTTTCCTATTCAAGGATTTTGATTACACAGAGACCGCATTATTTTTCCTGTTTAGCTCCAAGCAATTTTTAACACGTAACACACATCAAGATCATCAGTATAAACCAGGACTCCTGCCCATCAGTCGGAATGGAAAAAAAATGAGTTACAGAAGTTGCAGATGAAAACTTCAGCCTTACTCCCGACGAATACACGCCAACACCCAACAGCAACAGCCCAACTGTGCCATCTACCCCCAACAACAGAGCCCTGAGAGGTGGCCAAAGGAAAGCAGCTCCTCACTCTGAACGCTGAGATACACTAAGGGGAGGAGACCTGGAGTCAGTGTCAAGAAAGGTGGTCCAAAATATCAAAGGGGCCATAAACACCAAAAACTGCTACCCGTAGCAGCAAGGAGCTGCTCTTGGCTATGGGTGTCCCCAGAGGCAGGAGGAAGGTGAGCTGTCTGCCCCCAGCTCAGGTACTGTTCTGGACAGCCCAGATGGCAGGGCCACTATGATCCTGTGGCAATCTTTATTTGAAAGTTTAAGGAACAACCTTTAATCAACCAAAGTCTTCCCTAAACATCCAGACAGTAAAAAAAATACAAGATGGAAGTTTACTTTATTTTCTACAAAGCCTGAAGCACCAGGGCCAAAAAAAGCTCTGCCCGCACCATCTTTGAGACAGTTCTCTCCCCAAGAGAGCCCAGAGAGCAACGCAGCTGTGCAGGAGCAAGAGAGGAGCTTCCAGGTACCCTCAGGGTGGGAAGTGGAGGCATTTCTTTCTATGCTTTCAGTACCCCTTCCACAGGCAAGCAGAAGAAAAGGAACTGAAATAAGATCAGTGAGCTGTTGAGAAGCAAATGATCATCCTCTACTGTAAGCAGCATCTACAGCTCCTTTTTGCCATCATCACCCCCTGATAAGGGCAGAGCTCTTCATTAGCAAGCTCCTAAATCTGTAACACCTGACAGACTGGAGTAACTCATTCAAACCGTGTTAGTTAACCTTTGTCTCCAAAATAACTCAAGATGAGGTGGTTTAATTTTTTTTTTTTAAATTTGCTGACTTGTAAGAGTTTCCCAGGGTGGATGGGGAACCGCTGCAGAAGACATTTAAGCCCCCGGGCAATAGCACACGTCTCTAGGCTCTGTCTTGCAGATGCCTGAGAAGCAGCACATCTGCCACCAGGCATCTCCAAACAGATCCCATACCAGTGCTCCAGGGACAGGGACACTCCGGTGCCATCAGAAACCCCAGGACTGACTCTGAGAAACTCCCAGTTTAATCACTTTAAATCACTGTCCCTGCAGGAACAGCTGCGAGTCAGGGCAGGAGAGCAAGTGATGGCTTCTGAAAGATTCTGTGGCAAATAAACTACTATATTTTTGGTGCTGGCCATAAAAGGGACTTTAGCAGGAATGTGGAAAGAGAGGGCAGTGCCACGTTATGTGCTGAAAACAGGCTGCATGCAGCAGAACACTGAGGTGTTATTTAAGGCAAAATCACCTCTAGTGGTGGATATCCAAGAGCCACAAGAGTAAATATCACGGGCTCATTTGAGGGGCTCGGGCAGCATCACAAAATGAAAAAGCACATCTGAAGGACTGGAAAATGTCAGCAAATGGATAGAGAGCATTCCTTAATTGTAACTTATGCATGTTATTTGTCAGGTTTTGTAATAATACTTAGTTTACAAAACACTACAAGAAGTTGGGTTTGTAGGCTCTTCCTTGGGCCAGGTCTGCAGAAACAACATCAGAGGGGCTGGATGTCCGAAATCCAAAGTGCAGCCGGACGCTTCACTCCTTGGGAGCTGTCTGGAAAGTAGGAACCAGCACCACTCATGTCAAGCTAAAAAGACAAAAGAGAAAGGAGATTTAGCAGACGAGTGGCAGGGAGTGCAGAAAGCCTTTCAAAACACCAGTACAGTCAGTTCCAAACATCCAGTTACAAAGACCCAGTAGAAATTTCCCTTCTTAGAATCTGAGGGTCTATGAAAAGGGGGAAGCAGACCCAGCTGACAGCCACCCACAGAACAGGCTTGTCACACAGAATGGACACTCAGCCTGGCCTAGGTCATTATCCAAAGCTCTGAACGAGTTTAATTATGGCTCTCTTACACTCAGACTTTCAAGCATCAAGTCTTTATACAGGAGCTGTGAAGGGCAGAAAGAACTCTTTCAAAGGGTTCTTTATTCAAGGAATTCCTTATTCTTTCCTTATGCCATAAACCATTCCCAAACATTCTTATGGTAACTGAGAACTCAGCCACTAAGTTATGATGGCCCAAGTAGCTCAAGGACACACCTCCAACACCACAGCAAGAACCCTAAGAGTTGTAATCAGATGAAAGTCCAAATGAAGTTTGTGTAGGACATTCATCTATACAAATGGGGAAGGTCCTGTATCACCACCAGTCCAGGCAGAGAACAAGAAAACCTGCCTCCCATTAAAAGGTAACTTAGATAAAGCCTTTGACAAGAAGGCTTAAAAAAAATTTTAAGGCAGCAGCTGACAAACTCCAAAGTCCTTTTAGCTCCAGAAAGGGTTGTAGCAGGCATTTGAAATAATAATTTTATGGGTTCCAACGATCAAAAGCCAAGATGTCAAGCAAAGTCACTGGTATTTTAATTTTTAAAACAAGATTTGTTTAAAAAAAATCCAATTATGTCATAGCTAAGCACTGAACACCTAGAAACAAAATGTATCTGAAAGCTGGGTACTATTTCTCACAGGAAGTATTATAACTACAATATGTTATGTTTTCATACAGGACTGAGCTGACTCATCAGCTACAAGGAAATAAACCTTTCTGCAATGATGTAATTGTTGTCTGTAACTCAACAGAAGCAAAGAGGAAGTAGAAAAAAAATAACATAACATACCATAAGGTAACATAACATAACATATAAAATAATTAAGAAAAAAGATAAATAAATTGCGAGAACAGCTTGTTTTATAGTAAAATCTTTCCTGTTTTGCTCACAATTATACACAGCCCTGGATCCTTCTTACCTGTCAATCAAGGAATCTCTCATCTTGGTGGCGATGGTACTGGGCTGAGCTTCGTTCAGCCTGAAGATGCTCTCGATGACGGAGAGCTCGGTGCTGGTGGTGTCCAGCCCGCAGAAGGCGCACCAGTCGTTCACAACCATCCCCGCCGCAATCACCTCGCTCCCCCGATTCACCGTCCCGGCCTGGCAAAAACCAAGTGGCAAGAGTTAACGGGGCACCCCGACAGCAACGCGTTTCCTCATCACCAGCCTTTAGTGGAGGGCCTCAACCCACGCTCCCAGAAATGCTAAAGCTTCCCTCATCAACAAAACGATAAAGATCTTGAATAAAAAGATTACCGGACAGCTTTTAGTCTCTGGAGAGAGAATTGTGTGACGTTCAGTGAAATAAAAATCTAACAAGCAGGAAGCATAAAGGCCTAAATCCTGAAATTCCCAAATCCAATTGAGCAGGCACAAGTTTTTATTACCCTATTTTTTTTTTAAACACTGCCTTTTGACAAACCACAATCTCACACTCTGTATGATTCAATCAGGACAATCCCAGCAGAGCCATGTTTCAGAAGCAAACTAACAGTGGTAACCAACTTGTCCAGGCTCAGAAAAGACAGGTAAATGTCTCAGGAAACTTGCCCTGTTTGAGTCTCCTCATCTCCCACAGGGAAAGCTCTGCAGATAAAACACTACTTAGGAGCCTGTGAGATGCAGAAGAATTAAAACAGAGAACTGGGTGGGAAGGGAGTGGCAAGAAAAAACACAAACCCGCAAATGCCTTACCACAAGTGGGACCTGGAGCAATGAAGACAGTTCATCCTGATCATCAATTGAAGTTTTGGGGTGCACAATTCCTCCTTGGTTACTAAAAACACAGTAACTTCCCACCAGCACCTGATCTGCTACCGTTTGTCTGAAAACCTCAACCTTCAGTACATCCGCCAAGATCTCCTCTGTCTCCTGCAAACACAAAGAGAGAATGAAGCCCTCAGCAAAGCGGCACTGCAGGACTTGAAGTCAAACTACTCCTGCCTGCAGCCACCAACTGGGATGCTCCCCCTTGGGAGCCTGCCCATGCTGGCACAACCCAAGGCAGTTCAGTCTTTATAGAATGCTTACTCCATTCCTATAAAACACTTAACTCCACTTTGTCCCAGGCCAATTTGTCATATCCTTCTGTATACCTCAAAGAACTTCCTTTTCCTCCAGGTTTTCATTGTGAATTATTCCGATTCCTCCCTCTCTGACCATCTTACCTTACTTTTTATGCTTATTTAAAACATAACATGCTGTAAAGACTGTCAAAGACTGTTACATCCTCCCCATCCCGCTTTTTCCCCCCCTTTGCACTCCTAACACCAAGTGCCATTTCTTCATCACCTTCAGCACAAACTGAAAGCAAACACCGTAAGGACCCTCCCTGCCTGCAGCCACGCCGCACGCCTCTCTCTATTCAGATATCAGTTCTCAAAGCAGCAGCAACCTTGTCTCCTCTGCCCTTATTTTACATTTTCATACGAGAACCTTTTTCTTTCCCCCCTCTGTCAACATGCACATCACCACATCCACAGCCTCTGTTAACTACTACAAATGTCACCCAGCTCAGCAGTGCCCTGTAACTTCTGTTGTAGCCCCAACTAAACTCTTCTTTGTGCTCTCACTGTTACACACACACACACACACACACACACACACTCGCTGTTACTCAATGTTACGTACACAAAGCAAATTGCCCCCGACCATATACTTCCATATTTCACTCTTTCCCTTCCCGAGAGCATGCTGAGCAAGGGGGCAGACGCTGTACCTGGGGCAGGGTCCACAGCCACAAAGAAAAATATAGGGAAAGAGGCAGATCAACTGAAACAGAGTCAGAATTCCAAAAATCTGATTTTGAGATTTCTGAGAAGAATCACAGACTTGTAGGGGTTGGAAGGGACCTTTGGAGATTATCCAGTCCAAGCCCCTGCCAGAGCAGGGTCACCCAGAGCAGGTTGCACAGGAACAGGTCCAGAAGTCCATGCTCTGGAATATCTCCAGAGGAGACTCCACACCCTCCCTGGGGAGCCTGTTCCAGGGCTCTGCCACCCTCACAGGAAAGAAGTTTTTCCTCACCTTGAGATGGAATTTCCCATGTTCCAGTTTGTGCCTGTTGCCCCTTGTCCTGTCACCAGGCTCCACTGAGAAGAGTCTGGCCCCGTCCTCTTGCCACCCACCCTTTAGCTATTGCTCAGCATCAATGAGATCCCCTCTCAGTCTGCTCTTCTCCAGCTGAACAGCCCCAGGGCTCTCAGCCTTTCCTCAGCAGAGAGATGCTCTAGACCCTCATCATCTTCACAGCCCTCCATTGGGCTCTCTCTCCAGTACGTCCCTGTCCTTCTTGAACTGGGGAGCCCAGAACAGGACATGGTTATTTCTCCCCAGGTGCATTACCCTACACTTGCCCCTGTTCAGCTTCATCAGGTTCCTCTCTGCCCAGCTCTCCAGCCTGTCCAGGTCTCGCTGTGTAGTGACACAGCCTTCTGGTGTGTCAGCCACCCCTCCCAGTTTGGTGTCATCAGCAAACGTGCTGAGGGTACACTCTGTCCATTCATCCATGATGAATATATTGAACAAGATGGGACCAAGTACTGACTCCTGGAGAACCCATTAGTTACAGGCCTCCAACTGGCCTCTGCACCGCTGATCCCAACCCTCTGATCTCTGCCACTCAGCCAGTTCTCCATCCAACCCACACTGCCTAGGCTGAGCTATGAGGGTGTTATGGGAGACAGTGCCAAAAGCCCTGTTGAAGTCAAGGTAGACAACATCCACTGCTCTCTCCTCACCCACCCAGCCAGTCCTTCTATCGTAGAAGGCTATCAGACCCGTCAAGCATGATTTCCCATTGGTGAATCCATGCTGACCACTCCTGATAACCTAAGAAAGGCAAGATGAGGCGGCCCAGCCTCCTCTGTGACACTAGCTCAGCCTCCAGCATAGGTCTTCTGATCCCCACACTACATACAGCCACCCTCAACAACTACAAACCCAAACTGCAGCTCAGCGATCATTTCACACGCCTCCACTACGAATTTAAAAGTAGAGCCACGTACCCTGTCAAGATCGGGATGAACAAGAGCTACATAGTCATTGCAGGTAGTGACATTGCCCAGTGCCGAGAGACGCTCTTCTACTCGTTGAATTCGTACAGAATCTGGAAGACTATTGCGGATGTGCTGGAGCTCTTGGTCTGTCGTACTGCTCGGGACCAACAGCCCGTGTCTGTTTCCTAAAATGATCAATTAAAAAAAAAAAAAAAAAAAAAAAGAAAAAAAAAAGTTTTTTTTTTTTTTTTTTTTTTTTTTTTTTTAAAAAAAAAAAAAAAAAAAAAAAAAGGAAAACAGAACATTTCCACAGGGAAATGTTCATCCAATGGTTTCAGTTGCCCTTGCACTCTCCACTCCTCCCAAGCCCAAAGTTCAGCCCAAGAGAAATGACGTTCCCATTTAAGAATAACACAGCATCACAGGTAAGGGAAAAACCAGGACAAAGCACAGACTTATCTCAGAGTAGAAATATGTGAATGCCACTATTTTTAATCACTTCTCTTTATCAACAGAACCAGAGGAAGCCTGAGATCCTCAATGAAACGCTCTGATTAGGAATTTTCCCTGTAGATGCCAATTGCCCCAAAAACCGTACAGACGCTGCTCGTTTGTGTTACTCCACTGTGGCAAAGCAGTACGACAGGATGGACAAAGGCATTCTTTCCACAGGAACAAATCTTGAGCCAGAAGTTCATCTCACTGACTGGGGTCTCACTGGCCAAAGACAGATGGCTCTTCCTCGACTTTCACGCGTGTTAATGCCTCCCCCCTGCCTTGGCTCTGTCCCTCCAGTGCTGGCACCGGAACATTAGCCTTAAGGAAAGTGCAACTTTTTCCAGTTTACCAGAAAGCAGAGTTACACGCATCTTTAGCCCATCTTTAAGCCCTACAAGTCCCACTCTCCCCATGACCCCAGCTCCTTGTTACTGAGTAAGTTTTAATTTTTCCATTTTCACTCCCTCCCTTTCACACACGTGAAGCATCAAAATGGGAACTCTGAGGATGGGGGGTGCTGCCCGTCGGACACCCCCACCCCCACCTCCGCCACAGTTAAACCCACGGTATGTCCCAGGGCGCACCAATCGAACACGGCACTGCCCTCCCGTTTCCACCGGAGCCCCCCCACCCCGGGCTCCTCTCCCCCCAGGCCCGGCCGGGCCGCGTCCCGGGGCGAAGGGCCGCCCCGCCACCTACCCACACACATTCTGCCGATGATCCGACAGCCGGCGATGGAAGCGTGCACCACCGGGATGGTCCCGAACAGCTCCCCCTCGAAGACGCTGCAAGGAGAAAGCGTCGTTAGGGTACGGCCACGGGGCTCGCCGAGGCGGCGGCAGGGCCGGGCCGGGCCCTCGGGGCTCCCTCACCTGTAGAAGTTCTCGGAGCCGCCGATGGCCACGAGGCAGTAGGCGTTGGTGAGCTTAGCGAAGCAGCCCAACTCGTTGTTGTTCTCGAAGCTGGCGCGGACAGCCATGGCCGGGACGGTACAAGGCCGAGCAACCGCTACCACTGCCTCCACCGGACGCACGCGGCGCCGCCACTTCCGCTGGGGAGAAGGCGCGGGGCAGAGCGGCCCCGGCGGGGACAGCGCCCCCAGCGGCCGGGAGGTGCGGCCGCCGCTGCCGCCATGATGGGGACTCCCCCCGGGGAGGGCCCTGCCCCGACCGCGGCCCCGGGGCACCCCAGGGCACCCCAGCCTCCGCCAGGCCACCCTGCGCCCGGCTACACCACCACAGGCTGAGGCCCATGTGCCCGCACAGGGGAGGTGTGGAGGTGCCACCACAGGCCCTGGTGTGCCATAGCTGTCTGTGTGCCCACCACCACCACGGTCCTTGTCCAGATGTCCCCATGTGCAGCCTCACCATCCCTGTGCAGGCGTGACCTTCGTGCCAACACCATCTGGGTACAGTGTCACCCGCCTGCAGACCTTTCACCCACCTGCAGACATGCCTCCCAGGATCCAGATGCCACCCGAGTGCCTCAGCGTGTCACTTCTGGGGAGGGGCCACCCATGTCCAGGCATGACCTGTGCCAGCTGCCACCAGTGTTCAGATATGACCCACCCCTGCACAGACACCACCCGTTGGTGATCCCACACTTGTGTGCAGACACTATCCGCATGATGATTCCATCTATGTGGTGGTCCCACCCATTTGCAGACACCATCCACGTGCAGACACCATCCATGTGCAGACACGATCCATGTGCAGATACCACCCATGTGGTGATCCCCCCCCATGTGCAAACACCATCCATGTGCAGACACGACCCGTGTAGTGATCCCACACCTGTGCAGACACCATCCATGTGGTGATTCCACCCATGGGATGATCCCACCCATGTGCAGACATCATCCATGTGCAGATAACCACCCGCATGGTGATCCCACCTGTGTGCAGACACCATCTTTGTGCAGATACCACCCATGTGGTGATTCCACCCATGTGCAGACACCACTTATGTGCCAACATCAGCCATGTGCGGGTGCCAACCATGTGCCCAGACATGCCACCCATATTGCTGGCATGGCACAGCTCAGCACAGAGGGGCCCTGCCCGAGCTCAGGGGGCTCACCTCCCCACGAGGGACCCAACACAGCTCTGTCCAGCAAAACTGCTCCTTTATTTCTAACAACGTAACCCTGCCTTTGACCATTTCATTTCCAGCACATGGATACACAGCGAGGAATTTCTCAGTACAAAGGGAACCTTCAGCCACTGAAGACTTCAGTGGCTGAACAGTTTCCAGCTGCAGCAATGGCCTTGCTGTAACTTTGGGGGGGAAATGTTCTTTGGGAAGGAAAAGTTCTTTCCCAAATGGTTAAAAAGAAACTGGAAGGATGGATTATGTTTAGGTCATTTTTTCTCTCCTGCCACAATTCATTGCCAGAAGGGCAATGGAGCTGGTGAGGGGTCTGGAGCACAAGTCTTGTGAGGAACAACTGAGGGACCTGGGGGTGTTCAGCCTGGAGAAAAGGAGGCGAGGGGAGACCTTCTCCCTCTCTCTGACTCCCTGAAAGGAGGGTGTAGCCAGGGGGGGTCGGTCTCTTCTCCCAAGGAACAGGCAATAGGACAAGAGGAAATGGCCTCAAGTTGCACCAGGGGAGGTTCAGATTGGAGATTAGGAACAATTTTTACATGGAAAGGGTTATGAAAGCCTTGGAATGGGCTGCCCAGGGAAGGGGTTGAGGCACCATCCCTGGAGGGATTTAAAAGACAGGTTGACATAGTGCTTGGAGACATGGTTTTTATCAGAGTTAGGTTGATGATTGGACTAGATGATCTGAAAGTTCCCTTCCAACCCAGACGATTCCATGATATTGTAATTGAAAATTTGAACTGTACTTGCTAATCTCACCTGAATCAGTCATCTGCATATATTAGAAACAGCACAGACACCTTTTAATAGGAATCAGACTAATTTGCCACCCGTATTTTGATTTCATACCCCAGGTATGATGACTGTTGGGGAAAAGCAGCCACTTGAAAATAAGACCAAAGGACACCTTGAGGCCCAGGTCAGAGTTCGAACCGACTGTGTATCTGTTTAGATTTTAACTTGTTGTACTTGGTGATCAGGTCCAGCTTACTGTGTCCGAGAGTCATTCTTTTCTCAGCCCCGTATGCGCTGTTCTTTTCCATCAGCACGTCCTCAGTGAGTTTGTCATAGCAAGGAACTACAGGCTTTTTATCTCGTTTTAGCTGGCTGTATGGGGGCAGCAGGTCCAGCTTCCCTTGTCCGGCACTCGGTTTTTTTTCCATCCCGTAAAAACTGTTGTCATTTTCTGTGGTCAGTTCCCTGGAGGTAACACCAGGCCCTTTCTGCTTCATGCTCGTCCCATTGCTACTGGCACCATCGGAAAGGGACTGCAACGTCGGCTCCTGGGGGGAGCACTGGCTGCTGTTTGCCTTATTGTCCCCTTGATAACTAGGTTTATTGGAGCTCAGGGCAGGGGAAGGCTCCGGCTGCAAGAATGTCCTTGCTGTCATGAAGTTTGGTTTGTGATACAAGGCTGGATTGGGTTTATTGTTTTGTGAGTCTGGTGGTTCTCCTTGCTGCTTAGGGCAAGCCGGCTTCAGAGATGTGTCTTCTTTCCCCTTCTTATTCCCAGAATCAGAGCTTGAATCTTGCTTTTCCTGGTGTACGTTGCAGCTGGAGTTTTTTAGAAAGGGAGACATTTTTATGCTTCTGATGCTTACATTGGAGAGGCTGCTGGAGGGACTCAAGGTTTCAGCATCGTTCACCTGTGGGGGTTTTAAAAGGGAGTTGGCAACTTTTGAGGTATTCTGAGAAGAGGAGCACGTTCCAGGATCTGGCACACGGAAGCTGGTCACTGCGCGGGACTCTGCGTACAAGTACCGGAATTCCTTGTCAAACTCGGCAACAATTTGACCACGAAAGTGGGTCACCAGGCCAGTGTGGACTTGGCTACAAAGCCAGGTGAAACTGCAAAAAAAGGAAAAAAAAAAACATGTGCAACATTAGTTCACAGAGTTCCAAGCTACCTAGCAATGAATTTAACATTCCAGTGATGTATTGCTACCCAGTGTATGTCATTAAAACTTTCTCTGAAGGACGCAAGTCTGAGATTGCTTGAATGTACTCATTTCATCATTACAAAAGAACAACCCTAAAATGGTCATTTAATTTCAGCATGCAGCTGTTACTGTCCATAGTGTTGTTTCAAAGAAAGCAGTATGCTTATGCTCAGCACACACACACACCCAAAGAGCAACATACAATGAAAAGATCAATACTCTTTAGCTTAATAGCAAAACAGGTAAATTGATCCAGAATGAAGATGTAGTAAAAGAGTGTAAAACCTTTGTGGGTGCCATGAAGAGTATTCAGAAATTCCATACTGGAGGCTCAAAGTAAATGGATACAACTTCACAAAGAGAAATGAGAAAAAAAACCCCAGAAAATAGGTGGGATGGGAAAATGACAGAATAGACGCTCTTAAGACCAGAAAGTCCAACAATCAAAAAGGGTGGGTCACACATTCTAAAAGGCATAAGAAATAATATTGAGCGCTTTGTGGGACTAGCACAAGGTCCGTGCGCCATAGGCGTGCTCAGGTAATGCCTCTGCATCGGTGTTTACTGCAGAGGAGCTAGGGATGATTGCTGCCCTGAACCCACCTTCATACAGAGCATAAGGGAGGATCAGTCTCAGGTTGAAATCTCTGTAGAAGAGATTAGAAAACACATCAACAAAGCAGAGAGTAACAAATCAGCAGGACCAGGTTACAACAACCCAAGAGCGCCAAAGGAACGCAAGGATGAAATAGCTCCACTACTAACCAGGATTTCTTATCTCTCACTTGAAAGTGCCTTGGTTATCAGAAGAGTGAAATGTTGCTAATGTGATATAATTTTTGTAATGTTCCAGACCATTAAGTCTCATAACTGCACAGCACAAATTAGTAGTGACTCTTCTAAAGAATACAATTAATGCCCATATAGGTAAATATGATATCATAGGAAAGGTGGCTTTTGCAAAGGAAAGTTATCTCTCACAAAGCTATGAGAGTTCTTTGAAGAAATCCAAGAGTCCAGACGGGAGATTTCATGTGGTCTGTGTCACCATCATCACAGGCGTCTATCCTAGGGGTGCTGCTGTCCCCGTCCACCTTCCCACCACAGCTATTACCCATCCACACAAGAGCACTTTGTCTGCACGGCACAGGGCTCAGACATACCCCGACTCAGGACCTGCTCATCTCACATCTCATGTTGACTTGAGCTCCTCAAACCCATGAATGTGCTCCGAGGGCTGAGCACCCCTTCCTCTGGGGGCTGGTACCCCTTACAGTGTGAGCATTGCACCTGTGTCCTGGGTTGAGCCACACGGGACTAATTTATCTTCTAATGTTTGGGAAAATTGCACTTCTAGAAGCCTCTAGTGTCTGAATTTGTGAAAATCTTTCCTTCATAGCCAGCTCTGGGATGTGGGATTCAAAGTCTTGGTGTTTTCAAGCCTCTCCAGGGGCAGGGATGAGGAGGAGCAAGACCCGGGCACTTGACCCAGGCTGCCAACAGGATTGGTTCATTCCATGAACGCCACCTTCAGTATAAATTAGAAAGTTTGCTGTGTAGTGCCCTCTCGCTCCACGGTGGTGGGTCCAGAGAACTCCTTGCCCTGATGCCAGAGCCCGGAGCCCTTCCCTTCCTCCCGAAGCCGCAGCGCTCACAGGGTCCCACATTTGCTGTCCCTGCTGGGAGTGCACGGCTTCTGCTGGGGAATGGGCTGGGGATAGACCTTGGGTATTTTATATTGGTATCAGGATCAACAGTTATTCTTTAGTGTTATTCATGTTTATTATTTAGTCTTCTCCTATTAAATAGTTTTATATTTCAACCCTCAGGTTTCCTTGTTTTTTTCCCCAATTCCCCTTCCCGGGTAGGGAGGGGTCAATGGGTAAAAGAATAATTGTCTAAATGACAAGAAATTGTTAGAGGTTTCTCAAACCATAACACCCATGAACTGAGAGGACCATCCTCAGCCAGGTGGAGGATGATGCCTGCCATCCCTATTCACCCAGCCTGGCACTGCTGTTCCAGCAGACCTAGAAACAAAGCTGTGCCAGCAGTCAGGTTTGCCCTCCTCATTCTGGCCAGGAGGTGCCATGTCTCAGACTCATATGGTCTAGCAGGAACATCATCACCACTACCCATCCAGGCCTCTGGCCTCACCTTAGCAGGAGACAAACAACAGGTCTTGTTTAGGTTTTCCTTCCCACCCCAGACAAAATGACTTCCACCTTCTATTTTCCCCCAGCACCCTCTGACCCAAGTACTGCCTCTTGGCAGAAACACCTGAGATAGATACACCTGGCCATCTCCTCTCAAACACATGGACTGTCCTTTCTCCTGTGAGGGGAGCAGCCTCAGACCCAGCCATACACTCCCCCGGCCTTATGACCTGTCCAGAGAAGGGCAACGGAGCTGGTGAGGGGTCTGGAGCACAAGTCTTGTGAGGAGAGGCTGAGGGAGCTGGGGGTGTTGAGCCTGGAGAAGAGGAGGCTGAGGGGAGACCTTCTCGCTCTCTCCAACTCCCTGAAAGGAGGGTGTAGCCAGGGGGGGTCGGTCTCTTCTTCTGAGGAACAGGCGATGGGACAAGAGGAAACAGCCTCAAGTTGCATCAGGGGAGGTTTAGGATGGATATTAGGAAAAATTTCTTCACCAAAAGGGTTGTCAAGCATTGGAAGAGGCTGCCCAGGGCAGTCGTGGAATCACCATCCCTGGAGGGATTTAAAATCTGGACAGACGTGGTGCTGAAGGACATGGGTTAGTGGTGGTTTTGGCAATGTTAGGCTGATGGTTGGACTCAATGATCTGAAAGGTCCCTTCCAACCTGGAAAATTTTATGATTCTGACTGTCCCTGCCACTGATGCTGCTTACCATTCCTTTCCCGGTCCAGGCATTACTGTGTCCCAGTTTCCCATGCCGATCCAATGGGGGCCTGCCCACTCTGTGTCACCCACAGGACCTGGAAGGAATCATCCAAGTCCCCCCAGTGGCACAGCCACCCTCCTTGCCACAGTACAGGATGATGTGGCCTTGCCTGCCATGGCTATTCCCATCACTACAAACAGATAAAGGTCTTTTCCTCCACGAATGGCATGGAGGAAATAGCCAGGGAATGATCATTCTTGGTCTCTTCTGGTACAAAAAATGAGGCACTGGATGCAGTTATCACGTTACAAAGTCAATACAGAAAAGAGGTCCTTCCTTGGACAACACAAACACAGGCAAGCTGTGGATCTCCTCACTGCAGGGCACTGAGGATGCTGAAAATACATGTGAAGTTTCTAAAAGTGGGAGGATTCTCCTGCCCTGATTTTTCCCATAACAGACTTCTGCACACAGGGATCCCGTATCCAGTTCCGAATCACCCCGCGGCAGTGACAGGAATCTGGGAAAGGATGGCTGTAGGACAGGATCCCTTCCCGGCCTTGCTCTGAGACCCTCCCAGAGCAGGAACCCTCCAGGAACCCCTGCAGCTCAGTCCTCCGCCAGGAGATGGCGTTGCAGCATCACCTCCGGGGGTGGGGGACACCCTGGCCCACCTCGGTGTCTGCCTTGGGTCGGGCACCAGCGGCATTTTGACCAAGGTCAGGGTCTCAGCAGCGGTTCCTACAGCAGGATTAGTTCTGCGAGCACCTCTGTAAAACCGCGGTCCGGTCTCGGGTCACAGGGACCTTTCCGTGGCTGTATTTACAGACTGCTCCCAGTTCTTCACACTCCGCTTCTCTGCTTCAGCTATTTCTGACTGATGAGATACCAATTTGCAGCAGAGGGGTTTTTTTGCTTCTTTCTGTAGATTCTTTTACTCGTCTTTATTGCTTTTCTGTCACTTTGACTGTCAAAGGCATTCTTTTCTTTGTGTATGCCAATACAAACTAACCTGTATCATTTTTGCTTGATGCTAAATGTAGATACTACATAGCGCTCACTACTAGACCTTTAATTTCAAGTGACATTTTGTTTGATAAAATGACAGTAATCCGACTTTATTGTAGTAAGCTCTTTAAGCTTGCTTCCAATGCACTTGGAATTATTTCCACTCCTCATTTTTCATCTTTGTTTTGATTATAAAGAGTGCCGTGTATTCAGTTAATTTGGGCCTTCCATCTCAGTTATCTCTTACTTCTTATTCATCCTTACAGCAGCATGCCTTGTCTCTCTCTTCTGGATTCACTTTTTATTTATACACCTGAGGACTTCCTCCTCTTTGCTTTGGTGTTCTCCTCAAGGTTATATATAACTTATCTTCTGTCAGCACCCACTTTATTGCTCTACATACCAGCCTGGGGGATTCTTTCTGATAACACTATGCTTTCCACTCCTTATGTGCTTACTTCCTGCTTAATTATGATTTCTTTCTTGAGGTGACTGCTCATTGAGTTAGATCTGGAACTCACTCTTAAATCTCTTTCCTCTTGCTTGAGACATGGATACCTGAGAGCACGAGCACCTTCCTTTTAAAGAAATCCCAAGCCTCCTCCAGGTTCAAGCCCCTGTAGCTTTACCTGTCCATTGCAAACACTTGTGTGCTGAAGCCAGAGCTTTTGTAATCCTCTTAATTTCCTCCTCTCATTTTTTAGCATCAGATGTCGTGTCACCTTCACCCCCAAATCTGGAGTTTCTTTCACTACAATATAGCAAACAACGAGCTCCTCCCTCCCCGTGCCAGTGGCAGGGCATGTACCGATACTTTGACCATCTTCTATTTTGAGCTGAGAAATTCAATCTCCTCTAAGGCAAAACAAACAGCCACGTAACTCCCTTTCATGCTGGCAACACCACCTCTTTTCTCTAATCCTAACCTGGCAAATATTTACCCTAATTTTCCTGTTCAAGATCTTGTTTAGCTCTAGCCCCATTTGCCCTTTGGCTCCTCTAATCTGCTGCATTAGTAAATGTCTTCATATCCTTCACTC